GGGGCTAGGTGGGCGTGGCTGGGTGGGCATGGCCATCTGACTACGACTACTTCTCCTTCTCCTTCTTTCTTCTTTTTCTTCCTTTTTTCTGTTTTTTCTTCTTCTTCTTCTTTTCCTCCTCCTCCTCCTCCTCCTCCTCCTCCTCCTCCTCCTCCTTTTTCTGCAGAAACCTTTTTTGCAGAACCCCCCCCCCATTTTTTGCCTTTTTGGGAGGAACATTTTTACTCCCAGGAAGCTTTGCTGCGGGTCAGGAAGGGCAAAACTGGAGCACACAGCCCTTTCTGCTTCCTGGACCTCAGGAAACCTCCTGGGTGAAGCAGTAAGACAGCGAGGGGAATTCCGGCAGGGTTGATCATCAGAACCGTTGATCATAGGGAGGCGGAAAAACGGAAATAACTAACAGAGTGACTGGGCAGGGGAGAATGCAGTCAGCTACGTCGGGCATGCGCGTGATGTTGCACACGTGCAATAAGGACTGACTAGGCGGAGAGGGGCGGGGCCAGCCAGGGGTATGCTTTGCCAGTTCTCCAAACTGCACAGAATTGTAACAACCGGTTCTGTAGAACCAGTCTGAACCGGTAGAATCCCACTACTCTGTGTGTGTGTGTGTGTGTGTGTGTGTGTGTGTGAACCCAACTGTTGTTTTTAGTTTATGTTTGGGTGTTTTAGGTGAAGCCAGGTAACCAGAAAAATTCTGTAACTGCTTACTTAGTCATTATTATTATTATTATTATTATTATTATTATTATTATTATTATGAACACTTATAATGAAATACTTTTAATGGAAAAATTATAATGAAACACAATCACTTTTAATGGAAAAATTATAATGAAACACGATCACTTTTAATGGAAATCTTAGCACATAATCAACGTGTGCATAAGCTGCCTATATTTATTATGTATGATTATAAAAGGCAAACAAAACTAGGCGTGTGTTATACCTTCATTTGTTTAATAAATGAAAAGCAAGCAATGCTGACTAATTGGGACTGAGAACACACGTTCGTTATACACCATTTTGTGATTAGTTGATATTCAGTACAGGGTAGATGTGGGCAAAACAACCACTGCATGATAATTGATAAAATTTGGATGGGGTGGGATGGACACATGTTTGTGTTTCAACTTTGAATATCTGTGGAGGTTTTCAGTCATCCAGGTCACGGATATCGCAAAGGTGCCCTTTTTTTCAAGAGATGATTGCATTTTCGCAGACAGCTGGTCATTTGCCTTCTTTTTAGAGAAGCGCTGAGGCCACCTGGAGGTTTGTTTGTATCCTCAGGCTCAAGCTGCTTCTGCTCTAACAGGATAGTGGGGAAGGGGAGGATTATGAAAGCCTTCATCATGCAAGGAAGAGAAACCCTTCCTTTCCTCACTCTCCTGTCCGAGCTGAAGTAGCTTCTGGGATGAGAAGCGAAACGTCTTCAAAGAGAAATCAAAGAAGTCCAATTGCCTCCCCACAAAAAGCACCTTTGGGTCTGCCGAAACGACTGTATGGTAGACAGGAGATTGTGTTCTGACCTCAGCTTCCCCAAAAAGCACTTAGCAGACCCTCTGTCCTGGCAAAAACCCCTTTTATTAAATGAAGGTGAATTTTTGGCGTTCACATTCAGCCCCAGGCCTGGCAAACAGTCTTTCAAGGGTCTAATGAAGAGCCCAGGCCTCACCTACCTCGGAGAGCTGCCAAGTAAATATTTCCAAACACAGTGTTGACAAGGAAGGTCTCAGCACAGAGTCTCTGAGATGCACAGACAGATCTTCAGACCTCTGCAATGAACGAATTGTTTCCTGCACAAGCCCCCTCCCTTTTGCTCCTCTTTTAATCCCTAAGGGAAGAGCCATTCACCGTACACCTGCGGCCTTAATCCCACGTCAACCCTGAGTTTTTAATTGTTCTTTTCTTTTGGGAGCTCTGCGCATGTGCAGGCTGGGAACAGGCTCCAGCTGTTCTTCTGCCCTACTGATCTCCGACTCCCAAGGCAGCCGATGACTGCCAGCCTGCCCTGCCCCAATCTCTGCCCCGGATGCAGAGCCCTCATCTGAGCCTTCCGCAGCCTCCAGGACTGGCCCAGGTTCCTCCCAAAACATCCTCATTGTCCGACTCAGCACTCACATCTTGTGAAGGCAAGCTCTTCTACTCATTACTTGTCCTCACTGTTAGGAAGTTTCTCCTTAATCGCAGATTTCAAATTAACAATATATAATTTTTAAAAAACAAATGCCCAACACAGGACTTTCCTTCCTGTAAATAAAAGAAAACGGAGCAGAAAACGTAAACGGGTGTCGGCACCTCACTTTATTGTTCAGGAAACGGTTCCTTTTGTTTTTTAAATATTGTATGTATCTATGTATGTATGTATGTATATAAATTGCACCGGTACAGCATCTGTCTCTTCTGTTCCACGGGCAGGTGGACGCGCGAGGCCCGTCCAGAGAGTTGCCACACACAGGTGAGTAACTGCCACAGTCCTTGCACTGAAGCCTCTCAAATATCATTTGCAATGTTTGGTGGTGTCGATATTGTAGTTCTCCTTGTTGTAAGGGGCTCCGGCGAAACAGATGGCTGCCGTGCGGTCGCAATTACAGATAAAAGCTCCACACTCATCATTGTCATCTGGAGGGAAGAAGGAAATGGTGAACCTCGGGGGAGGCATGACCAAAACAAACGCTGCACTATTGTGAGACGCAGCCCTGTGTCTTTTCAATACCCGTTGTGAAGTTGCGCGC